TAAAGGCCAACCCAAGGGGAAAAGCATGACGTGTGGGACTTCAGATTGCTTGTGTTAGCCAGACAAAACTCATGCTCAGCAAATAGCTGCTATCTTTTGTGAAACTCTGCATGCTTCAACAATACATTAACACTGACATTACATCCAGTTTCTGCTGAGGAAACATTGCAGTGGAAAGGGGATGTGAAATATCCACGTTATGCAAGTCAAACGCAAAGGAACGTTACCAACTGCTTCGAAATAAGAAGCTAAAAAGGGACGTTGAACATGTTTTCAATTACACATTGTTTATCCTGCTTGAAAAGACGACCTTGAAGGACAAAGCCCTGCTGTGTGCATGTGACCGGTCTCTGATATACGATCAGCCCGGAGCAGGGGTGGTGGCAACACACCTTTCAACACTATTACATTATATACATTACACCTTTCTGCCTCGGAAGACATTCTGCCATTTGGGGGGAAATCAAGCCAATGAATAAATATTCATAAAGATGACTCACCATGGCAGCCATTTTAACAATAAAAAAAAAAAACATGACATCCATTTGTCAAAACCGTTAAATGCCAGGTTTTGTTGATAGTCACAGCGCAGAATAAGGAGCAACAGTTCCTGTTTTGACACAAACAACCTGAAGCTCCATCTGCTGCAGGCTCTACCACTGCAACTAAAGGGGATAATCCAATTAAATGAAATCAAGTTTGGTCCTTTAATGAAACTGGTGATCTTGTGGTGCTTCATTTGGTCAGTTATTTACCACGCAATACACTTTAATTTCAGATGGTAATGAAACGGAAGCTTTATTGCCTCATTCAAAAACACGAACAATTGATGAGGCATTTAAAATCCTGTATGTCCTTGTACTTTGTTACAATATGCTCCATGCTGGAGACAGCGAAGCTTTGACAAAATGGAGGAACACTAACTGTTAGGATGTATTGATTTAATGCCAGCCTCTATTGACTGATGCAGTGTTGGCTGACAGAATATAATGACTTTAGTCCTTAAGGCCCGGACACACCGAGCCGATTTCGGCCGTCGATAGATGTCTGGCCGTCGATGAGCGTCCTGTCGCCCTACTCAGATTGGGGTGTCCAGCACCATCGTGTCTTTTCGACAAAATAAATCACTCTGATTGGCTGTTCAGCTTAGCGAATGAGTGCATGAGAAGCCAAACGGAAGTGAAGAAGGCACGCATACGGCTATTATTTTTCATTTTCCAGTGCCGCACTAAACATGTTTTCGATAAGTCGTTATGTGAAACAGTCTGATGGACGAGAGTGAAAATGGAACGCACGCTATTTGTATAATATCAGGCAGTCTGTCCGGTTGCCTCTTTTGAATGACGAATACACACTACCACCACCTGCTGGTAAGGAGAGTTATTGCCACTCACGCGTGCGCAGTGTGTACGTGCTACTTGGCCGTCGGCTGAAGTCTTTGCGGTGTGTTCCAGTGCGACTGTTGGCCAAGACGCAGAGACGTGAGGCGACACATCGGGTCTGTCGGGACGTGTTCTTTGGTGTCAGGGCCTTTAGTCTCCTGCAGTGTTTTATAGTGAAGCCGCCCCAACCCCTATGAATAAACTACATCTTTACTAACAGCACAAGAAATTCTTCACTTTGAAAAAATATAATATTAGGATTATTGAGCTTCAGGGGTAATGTGATATTAATAACCACATGAGATAAGTAAGCAGTGCGTACCACCTCTGTTAACCAAGTGATAATACGAGTTGTTCTATGAAGTTTCAAAACCTTAAACATGAAATAATCAATGTTCGTTTCTGCTTGCTCAAGCAGCACAAACACTGATGTCTAGTATAAGAATTGTCTTCCGATCAGTAATAAATGCACCCAGCTGCATAGATGTCACACTGACATGATTTAAAGTAGCAGCCTTGTGATGATAATGTGACACTTCCACGGTCAATAAGGTTTATCTTTAAGATAGTGACGTACGGTGAGCAGGGGTTACCCTCTGGGGAAGGACATCACTGCATGATTTGAAAACTACAGCTTTAATAATGCCTTCACTGTAAAAAAAACAGTATATACTAGAAAAGTGATTTGGAATCCTTTCCATTCAAATGTTAACAATTGAGATATGTGTAAAAGAAGAGACAGGATTATTATGAAGCTGTTTCTCTCTCGTCTCTGTGATATTCATTCTAGCCTGTTGCACAGTGGTCGGCCTCAAGAAGACAAGCATGATTTCTGCACTGCGACATGAAGACACAACAGCCGACTGCCTCTCCTGTGGCGTCGTGCAGAACCCCCCGGAGCTGCATGTCGAAGAACATACTAATAACCTTCAGTTGAATGCACACCTGAATCAGGTTTAACATGGTGTTACATACAGGTTTAACTAGAACCCCATTTTTAGCTGACATATCTGTTGCTTCCATCTACTTTAAGCTCTTCACCTTAGAAAAGACAGGATGATTCAATCATACTAAAAAAGCCAGTCATCCTTTCTTGTAGAATGGATGCTGCAGAGGCCCACTAACCAACCCAGGACGCAGCGAGAGAACACAAACCTACATTTTAAACACTTCCTATAATCTTATCATCCACTGCAACAGGTTGTTTTTTTAAGAATAGCTGCAAACATAAAACTACACGATATGTTTGAATCATTCATCCAGTTTATAAAGCCTGAGGACAGGGTCTGGCACATTGAACAGTTCTTGATAGCTTTTATTATAGTAATAGACATTTGAATACGGAAATAATCGAATGTTCGAAGATAAAAATGGGATATATTTCTGGTGCTAGGTTCTGTTGCCTAGTCTGTATCATTATCACCATCTGGAGGTTTATACATTTTTTTCGTCTCTGAATTGCAAGTTGAATGCAGACGAGTGCTGATTGTGGTCCCCAGAGGAGCTGCAGGCTCTTGTGTTTGGGGTGTTTCTGCCCTCAGGCCTTGATCCAGCTGAGCTAGAAGAGCCACTGTTTCTCATGCACAATAAAGCCTGTGGCAGCCGTCAAGGTTACACGCATTGCAGGTCAGAAAAAGATTGACATTGGGGGAAATGTGCATATTATAGTGGGAGTCACTCTGAAACTTGGTACACAACCATTTTTATTTCTCCAAATCGCTTATTATTGTTAAAATACAGCCAAAGCCAAAATAAGCTTTAGTTGAGCTCGAATATACTAATTATTTACTTTATTATTGATTAGAATGCATATTAAACATTATAACATATGAATGGTAAAAAAAATATCAGAAAAAAGAGAAAAATGTCCTTCATATTATCCCATCGCACAACGCCACATATTCACTGTCCAACTATAAACTCATTATACTAAAAGTGATATTAACTGGTTTAAAATCTGTGATGTTCTGATGTTATCCTTAGAACACAAGGTCTGATGGTTCAAAAGCATTACTAGGGAAAGCTAAATATAGTATTTTAATTGAATTTATGATTGTATTTAATCTATCAGACATATTTCGGCCTACTCTTCCTCATGCCGCCCCGCCTCCTCCACATCACAGGGTGCCTACGTGCTGAGGAGCAGATACACACCACACAGCTGCCATCCGGATCAAAATCACTATTTACTCAGATATTTCACATAAAGATGATTTACACAGAGCAGACGCAACAGGCTGGGTCTCAGTTCATCCTTGAAGGTCATCGTTGTTTCGCTCTTCCTGTTGCGTATTTGGACGATGGGCGGAAATACCAGACTTTGAATACCATTTTCGACAAGAAAGGAAACTATAATGGCGTTCTTTTAAAAAAAATACGACACCATTGTCAGGTACTTACTTATCATTCATTTGTGGCTAACTAGCTAGGAAGAACAAGTTAGCGTAAAGCAGCATCGCACCCCCATCATGGTTATTGTAACCTATACATGATCACTAACAGATGAAGTATGTCCTATGGATTGAATCAGGAGTATTCTTACCTGCTGATGGCTGTCTGGACAGAGATCAGGCGAGTTGGAGGATGCAGAGTGTCTCGGTTTCTGCTGCAGCGCAACGTGACCCTTTAATCCTGGAGCCGGGGGCGGGGCTTACATCATTGCGTCACGTGATGGGGCGACGCCGAATAGTTTGTGCGCATGCGCCGAGTATCATCACTCAGAGAAAGGATGCAGCATGATTCTGCAACTTTGTGGAAAACCTCTGGAACACATTTCTAATCTACAGCTTTGTGTCTCTATCAGAAGCTCCTTATATGTTTTCAACCTTCATCTACACCACATATGATCCCAACGATAACCCTCTAAGACGTAGTTATTTTTAATTTGTAAATTCAACCTGTATATTTTCTACTTTGTTGTTTATTTCTTGTCTTTTAATTTGTATTGTATAATGCCATGTCTTTTTATGCTGTTGCAACACAAACATTTCCCAAATTGGGATCAATAAAGTACTATCTTATCTTATCTTATTATTTAGAAGCCAAATCCTGAATGGTTATGAGCAGGACCTGTACAATCATATTTGTTATTTCTTGTAATTGTAAAAGTTATTTCTTTTTGATTGTTTCGAGAAAAAAACAAGACAAACATGTCGCTGATGACGATGACCTAATATCTTATTTATAAGGAAAATGTACGCTAGAGGGGGTAGGACCAGAAACGTTTTTTAAGCTTCTTTTTGCCCCATGTTGAACATGACAGAGACTATTTGAGAATTTATTTTTATTTTTATTTGTTTGTACTTTGTTATAATTATTAGTATGAGTAAAAAAAGAAATATATATATATTATTATTATTGTTGTATGTTTTGTTTCTGACATGTTCAATAAATTGACAAAAAATAAATAAAAATATCTAAAGTATACATTGTAAAATGAAATTAAGTACAGTAAACCAATTGTACATGTCCACTGCTGGACAAAATGTCCTTTCTTAACCAAACACATGCAATGTTTCTGCAACAGTGTGGTGTAACTGAAGAAAAGTGATGCAATGACTGTTTCTTCAAGCCATCTCATACAGACAAAACCAAATCCAAATCCGCAGGTCGCTGTACAGCAAGAGTTTAATATTCCATCTGTGCTATATGGTCATTACAAAAATACATTGTAACATAACAGATAACAACAAATAGCTTCCAAAATAGTCATATAAACTTTATAAAGAGGATGTATAAATAAGCATTTTTTTGGTGACAAAAAAAGCAAGCTCAGGATCACATGTCAGGTATTCTCGTTACACTTCAGGGCATTATTTACAAAATCATAATACAATATGATCAGGTAAGTGCATAAAGGGGTGGTCAAAGGGTAGGGTTACAGCAGCCTAAGATAATAGAAAAGGTTGATTCTGTCAAAATGTTAACTGGAAGTAAGCTAGGTGTCAAAATCAAGGCTGACATGGGAAACCTCCGGGTGCAACCCTGAGTCACAGGTAGTAAACTATTCAAACCATGATGAGTCACATGAAAACTGAAAAAACAGCGCAGTCTTTCTTGCACAACTGTTGAGCAAATGCATTAGGCTTGAAAAGGTGGTCATTGGAGAAAGGCAAAACAAGTAAAAACCCCCAAAAACAACGTAAGACTCTCTTGTACAAGGGGGAAAGTGTTTTTAAAAAAAATGTTAATCAGATTAATCATTCCTTTCTACACTAAAGGTCGAATTAAATACAAATACATTATTTTTAAGACATTTTACAAGGCGCACCACACCTGCGTGTAAGGGTGAATAAGTGTGCAGAAATTATACGGACATATAGGCCTCTAATTTTAGTGTTTAGGCAACCATACAGTTAACTTAATGTCCGTCACACAAACACTTCCCTGCGTGGGACTTTTTCCTGAGCACATTGCAGTGGGGATGCCGGGCCGGGGAGGGGTACAGCTGAGTGGGTTTGTGTGTCAGCATCCAGGTGTGTGTCCGGTGTGGCGGGCGGGCTGAGAAACGAGTCGTAGTCGAAGCCTTTGAGCGGCTGCAGGGACAAAGTTAGGCCTCGGCGAGCTTTGGCAGGTCGGTCTGGCCTTTCTCTCAGCTCCAGAATCACCTGGAAAGAGATGAGAAAACCACTCACTTCACTTTTCATCTTGAACATTTCCTCAACAATCTGACTCATGTTTGAGCAGCCAAAGTGATCCCAGACAGTCTCAGTTACCTCCACAGGCTGGCGTTGCAGCAGGGCGAGGTCAAAAGATGTTCCACGGAAGAAGGTTTGACGTTTAAAACGATCAAGGGTCCTTAGGCGGCGGCAGGGAGTTTTACACAAAAGCTGGACAGAGAAACATTTGTAGGTCATGGTATGACATCAAACTAGCCAGGCTAAGCAGTTAGTAGATACTGGCCGTGTAAGGAAACTTGCTAGTAGTAGCATTTTGAACTACTTTTTTAAAATACTTTGTAAAAACAAAACATTCAGATGTATATGTGATATGCATTTATAATATCATATCATACAAAATAGTCACACAGAAGCAAAACACCCACTGACCTCTGTTTATTGAACTTATTTCAAAAAGTACACATAAACTACAGAAAAAAATTACATAAAAGTACATAATAATAATTTGAATTTCTATGGAAGTATAAATTAAGATGAACACACAGCAACCCCCCTCGATTCTGGAACATGTAGTCAAATCATCTTAAATGTGTATTTTAATGTTTTGTTGCAATATGTTTAGACTTTGTGTAATTACCTCTGTTAACAGCAAGGCCATCGGAGAGCTGAGGCTGAGGGGCATTTCGTAGGGGAACCACCTCACTTTCCTCAGCATACTGTAGTGGTCTGGTTCTGGAGGCATGGGGAACTGAGGAGGGATGGACATGTTCAGAAGGTCAGACTTTAACCATACTTTCAATGACTAGATTTAAGAAAACATTCAAACATTTGGGGCCCTCTACATTTATATCATTTGATTTAATATTATAAACAACTATATTTTACACCAAAATCATTTAAAGCAAAATTCAATCTCTCATTCATTGTGAAAAATATCTGCTTATCATGCAAGACATGCCAATTCTACCGGCAACAAGATCTTACCTTCCCAGTAACCAATGAGAACAGCAGGATTCCCAGCGACCACCAATCAGCTGCGTGGTTGTAGGGTCCGCCACTGAGCACCTCTGGGGCTGCAGAGCAGACAGAGCGTGCTCAAAACACCGGATGTAGGCTACTATATATTTGTACATAACCTTTATATTCACAACCTAGTATACAAGATTAAAATAATGACCAAATGCTTAGTCTGTGAATATATCCTCAGTGTTTAGAGTGTTTCTCACCCATGTATTGGATGGTTCCACAAATAGTAAAAGCTCTTCCTCCTCCCTCCAGGCGACGGGACAACCCAAAGTCAGCTAAGCGGATGTGTCCTAGAACAGACCATTTGCATGATGTGCATGTGACATGACATTTTATATGAGTTACTGGTGTAGTAATGTTCTAAATATTTCCCATCCTAACCAGATCTCCTTAGAATATACAGGGATACAAGGGCATTACATGATAGACTGACAGATGTTCCTTGTTCTGGAAGGTTCTCCTGCAGTCAGGAGTTATGCTGCTCTCTGCTGGTGTTTACTCACCATTGTCTGTCAACAGGATATTCTCCATCTACCAAAAGAAGTCGTCAAAAAGAATGAATTGAACACACATTCATATTCACCAATGTATTCAACTACTGTATATAAACAATAGTAATTTTGTAGCAGATTTTCCAGTACATTAAAGGTCTTTTATTTGGGTCCAAAACGTATGATTAACCTCTCTCTCTTACCTTCAAATCTCTGTGAATGATCCCAAAGTCGTGCAGAAAGCCTGCATAAAACCAGAAAAGAACAACACAAATATAAACTCAACTAGACTACTATATCCCAATGGCATATTTAAAACCCACTGCTTTGTTGCTCTGGGGGATCCTACCACAGATAAATGCTATTTTTATATTTACTTACATTAAATAGCTTTAACTAGGGAAACTTTCCAATAGTCATTACATTACATGTCATCTGTTAGACGCTTTTATCCAAAGCAACTTACATACTCAATACTGTGGACAATCCCCACAGGAGCAATTTGGGGTGACACAGGGACACAACGACATGCTGACTGCAGTGGGACTCGAACTTGCCCTGATTCGAGGTCCAGCACACTAACCACTGAGCCACAGCCTCCCTTCCGATCTAACTATTTTAATATTTTAAGGAAACAGCTTGAGGTGTTACATGTCAAAAATATTAGAGCATGCTCACCGAGTGCACATCCCAACTCGGCTGCAAACACTCGCACTGTGTCCTCTGAGAACTGACCAATCATCTGCCAGTAGGTGTACAGGTCTCCTGTGCTGCAGTAGTCGCACACTGCGGGGGAAGAGACAGCGTTAAAACATGCTTTGACATGCAATGAGAGGTGTGACGGACGGGTAGTGACGGTCAGCGGGATGTGGAACACACACTGGTGGAAGTAAAAGAATAGAGGAACGTGATCTAGAAGTGAGGAGAGTATAAAACTATTTTCCAAAACAAATTAAAAAGGTGACTCACTAAAGTAAGTCTGCCAAGCACACAGTTTCTAAAAGTGGGGTAAATAGTGAACAAGTGCGTGTTTGGAATAATTGAACATCCCTTGAGATAGTAATCTAGCCTCAAGAAGCCACCCTCTTTAATACAGAAGGATGGCTTTATACAGTCTTAACTTGCTCACAAGCCCTACAGGTATATGGCTTAGTAATTCAGCATGGTTCCCTATTCGAGCAAGTGCCCTCTCCTGCGCGTGCACGTGTTGAGATGCAGTGTTCAACATCTGGTTCCCGCGCTAACTTTGCTCCCTTTTTCTCACAGGGAAGAGGGTAACACACGTTCTGGGTCAGTGGCTGATTTGCTAAAAAAGGGTAAAGGCTCCTGAAGAGAGGAAAAAGGAGGCAAAGCAGATATAGGACGCACAGACAGTAGCAGATTGGGATTGTAGGGATTCAAGTCTCAAAGCAAAACAACCAGAAGAAGAAGACTTCATTTTATCTTTTTTATTTTGGTTGTATTGTTCTCGCTGTTTGGTCTGGTATTTTGGGTGGATTCTGGACACGACTACCAGTGTTGAGGAGAGGAAAAGGCAGAGTGAGGGGTTTTGGGATAGTGGATCTGGGTTGGATTGGGTCAGTGGTCTTTTGCTGACTCACTAATGTAGAGGTGGCGCTGAGTCTGCCAGCAGTCCTGCAGGTCATGGACAAATGGGTGGCGAACCTGACGCTGCGGGCAAAGTTCCAAGATCAACGTGAAAATCTCAAAGAGGGCCAGTGAACAAAGAGTGGGCCATTCACTGGATTATAAACTAATACACTCAGTATGTCAATCTGTAAAACAGTGGTTACAGGTCAATCAAACATGCTTTCATAAACTGTGGTAGGGGTTAAGTCCTTTTATTTTAGTTGTCAGTGCCTATTAGCTTTAATCTGCGCGTATGTACTTTTGTGTGTTTATGGGTTTGTTTTAATGTGCTTTTCATTGGACAGATATTTAATATGCTCTGTTATTGTGTTTCAATTGTGCTTATGTGTTTTAAATGTGTTCATGTGCTCTTGTATGAAAGTCCTTTTAATGCCATCAACCTGCCAGAGAGTGCCGATGTAAATGAGCCTCAATGGCTAAATCTGATACGTTTACATAATGGACTCAAGTGCTTATGTTAATTAATGTGCATTGTCCCATTTTAAATGAATAAATAAATACTAACTGACTAACTGACTGACTAATGAACTTGTTTTCCAAGATATGATTAAGCTTAAAACTTCAGTAACTTTGAGTATTATTGATGAAATTCATAGACTTAAAATTGGCATGTTCAAGATGTACCAATTCACAGTGACTCTCAGGGTCTTTTCATATTACCCACCTGAACAATAACCTCTTCTTTTGACTGCTCCAACACCCCGAGTCTTAGAATCTCTGATTTGGGTATAACCTGTTGGACGACAAAAATACTGACATGAGATAAGAATACTCAGCAGCTTTAAGTCAGAACCAACCTACATGTACAGTATGTCATACTGTCGGACTTTTCAACTTTAACTTATTTGCAAGTAGTATACAATGTTTTCATGAATTATTAAACTGGCAGTGTATTTGTGGCGTTGGTGAATAAACACAATTAAAATGTGACATTCAGGCAGCAGACTCACTTTGACAGCATAGGTTTTCTGCTTAGCTTTGTCCTTCACTTTCAGAATGGGCCCAAACGAGCCTTTGGCAATGTAACTCATCACCTGGTGGAGTAACACACCGTGACAGAGTCAGAGAGATACAGACACTATCCAATCATATCCAGCCTTACACATTGCAGGTGTATATGTTGGAATTGAGATCTACCTGGAAGTGTTCGTGCCCAGGCACATTTCTATGGGGGAATTCGGGCAGGAACATGATAATGAACCCCGGCAGGCTCCACTCTGCTCTCAGCTTCCCCGGGCCGACTCCCGCCAGCCTCAGCACGTGATCGGGGATGTCGGGGTCCTTGCCTTGGAGCATTCGTCCCTGACCCAGACGCAGGGCAGGTTGGGCCAGGCGACAGATGCCTGCTGGGATGGACAGCCCCATGTTGGAGAGGAAGCACCGCCAGCCAGAGGAGAAGTCTTCATCCTCCTTCCCTTCAGCGGGCTTCTGGAGAAGGGACAAGGGGAAAAAAGATGCACCAAGAAGCATTATGTGGGTAATGCTGTTGAATGCAGCTCAACGCCTGACTCCTAGATAGACTTCTTGCACTATTTTTTTATTTTTATTTGATTATACATGTTGCACCGTTGGAGGAGCTCGGGTGATAATATTGTCATTGCCATTTCTACACTGTAGCTTATGTGCATATGACATTAAAACCTTTGAATCTTTGAAAACCAATAACAAGATTTTTTTCTCAGCGGGTGCCTCGCCGAGTGACAACACCCGGAAGAGACAATACGCTTACGATACCTACTGTAGTCTGTACTGTATGGGATTTATGTAATAATAACACAGAGAAATGTTAGTGTGCACATACAAATAGTGCAAGTTAATACAAATAAAATAGAAATAGTGCTAGAAGAGTCTATGTAGGGCAAATCTGGTTTGTTTACTAAAATAACAGGTATTTTGCATTACATTGCTAAAATAAAGTAATTGATATACACTGATAATCTTATAAATGCTTTGTTTATTCATTTGTGTGTTTCATTTTTTTCTTTCTATGAAATATTTAACCTGAGATTGGAAAAATAGGTTTAATTCAAGTGCACCACCTGATTTTAAATGTATAGTAATCACACACACGCACACACACACACACACACACACACACACACACACACACACACACACACACACACACACACACACACACCTCTATAATAAACATATATTGTAGTTTTGAACAAGTATGTTAATAAATAAATACTTGTAGGCCTATGCTATCCCAAACAAACAAACACGACAAGATTGGGGATTGTCTCTCGTGTGATTTAAAAAGAGAAAAAGATACACAAATTGACCCAATCTGCAGTCACTGGGTCACACAAACCTCCCTCCCCCCTCTCTGCCCCTGCAGGGGCTGCACAACATATCTGATGCTCGGTGGTGCAAGATGTGTGCAATCAACCGTGCAGGATGTTATAATCATCAGAGCCAGATGAAGGGACAAATATATAAAGTCACTCAGCAGAAATAACTGTCAGTGCAAAATCCGCACGCGAGACATCTGGCGGGGCAGTTTTAGGGTTAGAAAGAATAGAATGTTGTGTGTTATTACAAGGCGTTTAATTGCCAATATATAGATTTCACATGTCCGGAAGTGTGAACATGTTTCCTTCTAAGTAAAAGCGTAAATATTATAGGGACATTTAAAGACAACAATGACGATTTTAGGAGATAACATCGAGTATAATATAAACATATTTTCAATAAACTACACAACTGTATAACGTTATTTCTGTTTACTGCTGAAACCCCCCCATCCGGGTCTGTCACCGTCGTTGCTGCCTCGTGATGTTGGGAACCAAATCATAACCATGGAAACAGGGAAACCCAGCACGTGCGTCACACCTGAGCAATGGTAACCAGCCTTACTCACCTTCCTGTTTTTACTGCTGTCGGCCCCCATCACTGTGACAGGACATCAGCACTGCAAAACTCGTCCGGACACCTCACATTTTGCTGCGCTCCTCCATCGTAGCCATTAAACAGTTTCGTGCACAACAGTTTCAGCTTTAAAAAAAACAGACAAATATACTCTTTATCACGTTTCAGCAGGTAAACTCGCTGCCGGTGTACAATGTGATAGATATGGCGACATAACAAGGTAATCCTCTGTAGGGGCACCGTAATCGCAAATCCGCCCACATCTCTGCCATCCAATGAGACTGCGACCTGGTGAGTTCAGCTCCCTCTGCTGCTGTAACCAGACCATCGATTCCACATACAAGGGACAATTTATATTATCGTTTACATTATTTGCATAGCAGACCTCATGGAGTTTGTTTGTTTGCATGGAACAAACAATTGCATGCATCAATACAACTATAAATGGATTGTGTAGTAGTAATTCTGTAGTCATCAACCTCTCTTCAATTTGCGTGTTCTATAAATAAACCAGTGCATGCATAATTTTTGCTGCCCCACTAAATGCTAAGTGCAAACACCAAAGGTAAAGAAATGCATGTTTGTACTGATTTATGAGCTTCAACGGAAGGAGCAGGAGATGTATAGAACTTTACAATGTCATAGTAATACTGTACCATAATGGTAAATCTTACAAGTGACATTTAATATTCTCCAATTGATGAAGATTAACCAAAAAATAAAATATATGAGATCTAGCCATCTTCTAAATGATCAAAATATATGGACATAACACTGCAAACATCAAACCCCATTTCTGAGTGACATGAAGTAAAAACAAAATCCAAACCAAGATGATAGCCCAAGTGCATTTTATTTGGGACTACGAACAAAAAAAGCAAACAGTGCCATCCATACATTTTACTTTCACATATCTGTTAATGTGTGGTCATTTCTACAAAATAACCCAAACTGTTGAGCTTTAAATAAACAAGTAGAAAAGGGTTTTGTGAATCCATGTGGGGGCGTTCAGGGTCTAAGGGGCATCAGCTGCACTCAGCTTCAGTCATCCTCATCGAAGTCCTTCCTGCCACCCTGGGGGGGTTTGGGTCCCCCTGCTGGTTTGGCCATGATGATCTGGAAGAAGAAAAGAAGGTTTTAGTCAGTCTCTCTCTACCAGCTGGAAATCTAGAGCACAGATCCACGCAGCAGGATGAAGGCTCTGGAGCAAGCAGGTTCACAGATAGTTCAACTAAAACATTCGTGTTAAACAGGAGTGAGCATGGGAAGAAAGCCCGAAATAAATATAACAATTATTTGCTTGGATTTATATGCTTAAATAACAATGCAGGTTATATTTTAAAGTGAAAAGCAGATTTAAATCCTTAAGGCTGCCCAGCAGGACCATCTATAGTGGTGAAATATTGATCATCTCAGTTTTTCTAAGGAACAAAATGTGCCAACATGGGATAATGCTTTTCAAACGAAAGGTAAAACAAATTAAAGATTAAATCTCCATTCAGTTATTAATCAAAGAATTAAGGAGTCTGTACTGGAGCAGAAACCAATGATCATCATAGCCTGGGGTTTTCTTGAATTTAAAATATTCTTAGTTGGTTATTGAAAAAGTGGGCTGGACCTTCCGGCTTCAGGTTTGTTTACTGAGTAGTGATTGAAAAATGCCCACCAGGCAACACAGCCACATTACCATCTCGAGCCCTTCATCTCTTACCTGTTACCTTTTTATTAAATGACATTAAGTTACATGCAACATTTTCAAATCACTTCGACTGCAATATACATATGTAATGAGTGCATGCAGCATGCCATCACACCATACTGTTTAGTGCAAGTGATTTAGTTCGCCGTCAGTGACACACTTTATATTAAAAACACCCTTGAGGTGGCTGAATGCTGCAGCTCAACATTTCCTTGCAAGTAGTTCTGTATCACACTCGTTAGTAGTGACAGGCACAAAAACATCTCAAACTTCAGTTTCCTGTGAGCGAGTGAGTTAGAGAAATAAAATCACACACGCAATCCAGGACCTACTGACGGAGGTTGTGTGTTCGCCCTCTAATGGTGAGTTTCAAAATTATCAGGTGCTTCGTCCCACTCGTCCTTGTCCCAATGGCCTCTCTGTTTTGGAGTTTTGGGTCCCCCTGCAGGCTTAGCCATGATGATCTGCATCGCACATATCAACTAACATCAACTACCTGGTGGAGACTCATCATTCACAAAGGCTTGCACAGTAACACTTCATCTGCTGAGTTTAAGAAAATGCTTAGCTTTACGTCTAACTGTAAACAAATAAATACAACTGAATAGAAGTCATCTGCCATGCGAGTATGTACACCTGATAAAACAAGGTCAAGTCTGGATTCTTTGTAAAGAAACACAAATAAATATGAATTGCAGCACAGCACTCCAGTTGTTGTGTTGCACCTGTTTCTGCTTAGTTTAACTATTCAAAACATAGTTAAAAAACATGGTGAAATAAAACCCTAAAAGTATTAAGACAGTGAATACATTTGTAAATATGGATGAAGCAGAATGTGATTAAGTTGAATTTAAAGTATTTCCGTTTTTTTTTTTTTAAATCATCCGCAAGTATTTGTACACACCTGGTCCACTCTCAGTACTGTGATGGCAGCGTTGGTAGCCAGTTTGACGCCCCAGTGTTTGACCAGGTAAGGCTCCAGGATGCCAGCCTCAAGCATGTCCTTCACAGCGGGGCCTTCTCCCTGAAGACAACATCACATCA